TCATCCCAGAACCCACACCCAAATTCCCTCCCAGAGCCCGCACCCCCTCCTACCCCCAACCCCCTACCCCAGCCCAGAACTTGCACCCCGCACCCAAACTCCCTCCCAGAGCTGCACCCCCTCCTACACCTCAACCCCTTGCCCCATCCCAGAACCCGCACCCTGCACCCAAACTCCCTCCCAGATCCCACACCCCCTCCTACACCCCAACCCTCTGCCCCATCCCAGAACCCACACCCCGCACCCAAACTCCCTCCCAGAGTCCACACCCCCTCCTATATCCCAACCCCCTGCCCAGCCCAGTGAAAGTGAGGGAGGGTGGGGGAGAGCGAGCGACGAGAGGGCGGGGGGATGGAGTGAGTGGGGGATGGGAAGAGGAGGGGTAGGGGTGGGGACTTGGGGGAATGGGTGGAGTGGGGGCAGGGCCTGGGGCTGATCAAGGGGGCTTAGGAGTCCCTGAAAATTTTTTAATCAAAATGTGGGTCCTCTGGTTGCTAAAGTTTGAGAACTGCTGTTTCTGGAGGATTATTTAGATACTAAGTTTAGCATTGACTGAGTCATGTGGTTATCACCTCTTCCCTCCTTGATGACCATGATAAGCCTAGACAGGCAGCTGCATTACCGCTTGCTCCAAAGCTTTAAGACTGCTCAGGGACTGCAGAGATCAGTGGGAACCCTCTTGTTTGTGTCTGCTCTTCGCTTTTTACACTATATTTTAAATCTAAGTCCATAGTCGTACTGACTAGGGGAAAAATAAAATGTAGGACAAGTCTCAGATAGGTGGCTGTAAGTCAGTTAGCATGTGCAGCCCTCCAACCACCACAGATGGGCAATTCAAACACATTTGGCATTGTAGCAGCTTTTACTAAACATTCAGCCAATAGGACTGAGTGCAGATCACCAACCTGCCTTACCGATTGTCCGTCCGTTTAAGAAGCGACTGCCCTGCCGTGATCAAGCAGTAACAGATGTTTAAAGCAAGTAATCTCCTCTCTCATTCCTCTGAAGATAAATCCAAACCAGAAAGTGAACGTGACATTTTGGGAGAAATCCTGGCACCATTGGAGCCAGTGGCAAAACTCTCATTGGCTTTAATACGGGCTGAATTTCACCTTTGTGGTTTTTTTAATGCCCTATTACAGAGTTTCTCAAGTTTCTGGAGCTGATAATAATTTACAGATTAAAGAATATCTGCAAACCCTCCCTCAAGACTTCTGATCCCTAACTATGACCAGGCCAAAGCGTGTAACTACCATGCTCTAACTAATTATACAAAATTCATGAAAGAGAAACATTGTACTCGGCACAGTGGAGAAACCTGTCTGGCTGCTGGAAGACAGTGCCGACTGGATTGGCTAAACAGACTTAAGGAACTGTGATTGACAGTCTACACAATTCTACACTTATCGCCACCATCTTAGAAACTTGACTGGCTGAACTACAAGGAGAAAAGTGGGATGAGATCTTACACCTTAGTCAGCCTCCTCCTTCCGAGCTATCCAAAGCTGGCTGAGGGCCTGGCATGAATCTTGTTGCCAAGTGCTGCAACAGCTTAAAAGGGAGACAAAGTGTTTGGTGAGCCTCCTCTTTGTGTGTGGGAGATCAGGGAAGTACAGCTGGGTCTGAAATTCCCTCCAAATGCCGAGTTATCAGCTGCTCAGTTTCTTCAATAGAGTCTGAAACAAGAGGAAACGACTCCACTTGATTATCAGCTTCCGGGTGTTTTCTACAATGAGTGCGTCTGCCTTGTTACGCCTGGACAGAACATCGATATTCCCGGCTGGAGAGAAGAGTGAAGCTCAATGAAGTGCCCACGTACATCAGTAAATTAAACCCAGGATGAATTGGCGAAGGCGTCAGCAAGGGGAGAATGCTGATCACGCAGGAAAACCTGCACCTCTGTCCTTAAAATCAAGAGGAGAACGGGAACTTTGCCTCATGAAAGCCACCTCGCTAGTGTGAGAGGAGCTACTGGTGGTGGGAAACTAGGGCAATGCAAAAACTCTCCATTCACTGGACAGCTTTCTGGGCCGGTCACTAGTTCAGAGCTTGATGAAGGACCGGTGCAGGTTTGCAGACACATAGCGTATGAAAGTTTGAGGCACTAGGTCGGATGTTTAGGATCCATATGATCAGGTTGCTTCTAACTGTCATCAGCTGGGCTCTGTCCCCACAGATTGCAATACGCCACTCGCACGGAAAGCAGAGATCTGCAGCTGCTTCATGGAAAGTCTCAAATAAGCACTCTGTATGTCCAAGGAGCTAGTGGAAGAGAGCTGACTGGCCACGGTAGGAACTAGACAGAAAAGCCGCTCGCGGAGAGGTAGAGAGAATCCTTCCGTAACAAAACCAGCATCTTGTGCTGGATGTCAACAGCTGGGGTTAGATCCAGAGAGACAAAAATCAACATATCTGTAGGTCTCTCCCAGCCTTCCCTTCTTCCTGAGGGGGGTCTGGAGTTGCCCTTATTCACTGGGCATTTAAAGAGCTGGTGCCTTAAATTCAGAGGGCTGGGGGACTGAGGACAGCTGGTCCCATCTGCCCACTGACTGTGTGAATGAACAGTCTGTAGCCCGCACTTTCCTTCCCCTCAGAGAAAGCCTGCTGGCTTCCTTCTGTATTCTCAGGCCTAGGGGCTAAGTTAAGGGTGATGTGGGGTAATGCAACTCCCCCTTCTCAGTCCGAAGTAGATAGGAACTTCCCTTGGTTTGGGTATCCAGCACTCTCCCGCCTCCTCCCGCCAGACTGCTTTACTTATCGCTCAGGCATCCATGAGATCCTTGCTCTACCAGCTCTCTGAAATCTGCTTTCTCCCACTTATTCCCTCCAGCTGCAGAGGACACCCCCAGGCTTGAATTACCTGGCAGATGTTGAGGGGCAGAGCTAACTACAGGCTCTGTCTGCAGGCCAGACACTTAACCTATTCCTCCCCTGCCCAGTCGGCAGCTTATAAACGCCCTCACTGGCACGAAAGGGGCTGACGCTAGTTTCAAGCGAGTAGCTATTCCTATAATTCAGTCATTTCCACTGCGGGGGGAAGGTGCCTCTTTTGCACACCATGTGCACCTTGCACTGTGGCGAGCTTTGCAAAGATAGCTAATCAGAAGGGCGTTTCTGTGTCATTACTCAAACTGGCATGCAAGTGGCCTTGGTTTTCAGGCTCCCTCCTTAAAACCTCAGACTCCTTTCAGCGATGGATGTTTGGCTTCTAAAGATCACAGTGACTCTGCAGGCTTCGAACTCCGATGCAGCCCTTTGGAACAAACTGCACACGGCACTCACAAAACTAATAAACCATACATCATACATGTCCATCCCATTTCCACATTGGCATAGGAACAGCCTGATGCTGCCCTTTCCACCAGTCGTCCCTCAACCAGAACTGAGCTCCGGTGAAGACCAAACAATGGCCAGTCCATGCGAGGCTCAGCCGTGCTCTCAGGCTTGGCCAACTGCTCTGCTGCTCCAGTCCTGCAGTGGGGTTCGTGCATGGCGTCTTGCACTTCATGTCGTCCCAAGGGCTCTTCGTGGGACTTGTCCTGTATCAGGCCCACACACACACTGGAAGAGGTCTAATACTCTTAGCTGTCTGCTGCGCCCACTCACATCCTGCGCTAATCTACACTGAACAGAGGTCCCAGCCATGGCTGGCCATATGGAACACATTACAAGGCTCTTGTGTGTCCTTTTTTTTCCTGTTTTAAACATTACCAAATTTGCAAACCTGGGCATCTTGTATGACCTTCTTTGACCCCTCCCCTCCCTGAGGTCACAACCCACATTTTGGGCATCTGGGTCCTAACTAATTAGCCAGGCAAACAGGCCCTACAATCACTGAACAGTTAGATAAAGGAGAGGAACAGATATTAGTCTCCTGTTTCACTGAGAAATGCTGCAAGTTATGAACCAACAGGCTGTAAACTTTTTAAATGCCATTAAAAGTGGCAGTGCTAATTTAGAGGTACAGCAACGTTACACTGCAGAATCGGCGCGGCTCTAAAATGAGTGTAGAAAGAATGGTGAATATTGATTTCTTTACACACCGTCTCCATTCGGCTTCGGTTTTGCAGGACCCGGTGGTGACCGGACCATTCCCATTTCCTGGGGACGGCCGCCTGATCTTGAAACAGGAACTCCCACTTCCGTCGGTCTTTCTCATCCATGTCTGTGCAAGACCTCACTCTGGTCCCAATCAAGTAGGTACCATGATTCAGTGTCAGGGAACTGAGTTTGTAACTGTTCCCGTACAGCCTGGTTGAATCCTACGGGCATGTCTACACTGCAGGGTCTGGCCTGTGCCAACTGACCTGGGCTTATGGGCTCAGGCAAAGGGGCTGTTTAACTGCAGTGTAGATGTTCGGGCTCAGGCTGGAGCCTGGGCTGTAGGATCCTGCGTGGGGGGAAGGTCCCAGACCTTGGGCTGCGGCCCAAGCCCGAACAGCTACACTGCAATTAAACAGCCCCAGAGCCCAAGTCAGTTGGCAGCCGCAGGTGTGGGATTGCAGTATAGACATACCCTATTGGGCTATCAGACTTTAGTTAATGAAGGCAGCAATGCCTGAGTCTGCTCATTGTTAAAAGGTAGCATAGGAGAATTATTTAAGCCAGGAGCCAAATTTTCCTGTGACAAAGCGATTCCAGGACTCACGTTCCAGGATAAACATCCCCACAACAGGTGGTGTGGGCAACCAACTGAGCTAAAAGTCAAACCTACCCATTCCTGGAAAAAATCATTAAGGAAATGATGGGAAGTACAGCATTTCCTAGTCTTGAAGATGGGTCGGATGCTTTAAGGCTTAAAAGCCAAGCGTTAAAAATAACATTTCCGCTAAGGGCCTGTTCAAATGTTTTATAATCACACATAAGACCCAGTCATAGCTGTGATGCCTGTTAGCCTGGTAAGCATGTCCTGTGAGGTGCCGAGTAGCCTTAACTGCCAGGGGACATATGGGGAGCTGAGAGCATTGGGCTACAGAACTGTGGGGCCAAGAAGTTGGAGCAAAAGGATCTAAAACTGAGTTTAAGTCCAGACTGAGGCATCAAAATAAGTGGAATGATTTTTTTTTCAAGGTTCCCCCTGAAATCAAAGGGAGCTCCTTGGTGCTCACTACTTGGGAAAACCAGGCTACTTCATTTGAAGTCCATATTGAGGCACCGAAGTTTTAGCTATCCATCTACTTCAAAATAGTTAAGCCAAGACTACGTATTAAAGGGGTTAAATATGATCCGATGCTGCTGCACCATCAGTGTGTTGTCGTAGCAACGCACCTCTTCCCTCTATATTAATGTGGGCCTCTCTCTGTCTCAGGTGACAGGCGTTCACTTGATCCCTCTGACAAAGGGGCAGGTTGCAGTACTTTGGGACGATGAGTGCGTGGATTCCAAGTAAGTGTGTTTTTAAGACGGAGCTAGAGGTAAGACCAGGACATAGATGTAATCTTATCAGGCCTAGGTATTAAATAGCTAAGCAATGTTTACTCTCTCAGCTAAGTGATAGGCATTATCCCTGGCACTTTGTCAATGTTTTCCAAAGCACAGTAGCTTTAATCACCAGAACGACTGTTCGAACCCATGTGCGATCTCCCCGGGGGGAAATCTTGAGCAGGTTCTTGGCTACCCTGCCCGTTCAGCGTGAGCCGAGCTTGCAGCCTCACTAACACACGATGGCAATTCATCTGTGAAGCGGGTTTTAGCCCACGAAAGCTTACGCCCAAATAAATTTGTTAGTCTCTAAGGTGCCACAAGGACTCCTCGTTGTTTTTGATGGCAATTCAGGGTGTCTTGCTCCCCTGGAGGCTCCATAAAAGTCCCCTGTACTAAAACATGCTGCTTTATCCAATCCTGTCCAAGTTGCCCAGATGTGAGTAACGAGGAATGCGGAGATAAACGGGGGAGGACTGTGTGCAGGTCAGAAGACGTAGCCGTCTGTCTGTAGACATGCTAGCCCAGAAACCAACCGATATCGACTGATGTGCAGACTGCGGACACAGGACAGCCAACTCAGTGCATCCTTTGGGGTTGGTTAGTGCACCTCAGTAAGTGCTGGCTTTCCTGCCTATTGGGCCTCCGTCTGTGAGATGCTGAATATCTCCACTGAGGTGCTTAGCCTTGTCTCTCCCCTTGGCGTCTGGGGAAGCTGAAGGGGCTCACCCGTTTGTCAAAGGCTCTGGTACTCTTTTGTGGCCTTTTCGAGTCATGTCCCCTGCTCCTTGTGTTTGGAGGGTCTGCTGCAGCACAGGACTTCCCTGGTCAGTTGTGTGCAACGCCAAGCATTTCTCTTCCTCACCCTCCTGCACAGACGAGACAGGGATGGGGAGATGTGGCCATCCCGTGGTCACCAGCAGCCAGTTGAGATGTTTGGTTTCTTTCCTAGATGTCTGAAAACATTCGAAGTTGAGTTTTCATCGGACGGAAAAGCATACAGACGGATTAATGCCAGAGACACGATCTTCACGCTCTGGGTCTACAGTCCAGGTAAAGCCAGCACTCACACTCAGCTTAATCTGTCCCCTCAGCATTCTCACTCGGTTGAAAGTGGACTACGTTATATTTGTCATTCAGTTTAAGGAATACAGAGCTAGATGTGTCCAAAGCGCTTCATTGCCAAAAAAGAGACCAGGTTCCTCTCCTGGGGATCATACCCTTAGGGCTAGAGGATGCGCCCTTATTGTGAGTAAGTCATGGTCACCATGGACAGTGGTTGCACCATCTATCCCTAAGCATACGATCCTGAGGTCCTTGCTCAGTTTTCACTGAAGCAAACTCCCACTGAAGTTAACAGTGGCTTGAATGCTAGAAGCACCTCCATCCTTGGCCCCTGTGTTCCATTGCCACAGCACACGGGCAGGACGGACAGGGAAGGAAAGCTCACGCCAGATGTTGCTGTACTAAGTTATCCACACAGTTATTCACAGTAATATTCCTATCACTACATGCCGTGTGTGTATGTGGTTCTTTACAGCACCGGAGGGTATGGTCCTTGCCCTGGGCGCTTACCCGGCACAGGCCTGATCCTGACTCTGCTATTGGCAATGGGAGTTTTGCCAGTGACTTCATCAGAAGCAGGGCAGACTCCCATTTTAGACAGGCCCCACAGATGACATCAGGGGCCAGATCAGCTGCTGTGCTTCAGTTCAAGGTGTAGGTGTGTGATACTCTCTTGGGATGCCCAGGCCTGTGAGTCACCTTGTTCCCCCGCCTCCTGTGTGAGGGAGTTTTGCTTGTGGAAGCTGGAGGTCAGCTCCGGGACCCCTCCAGCCACTCAAGCACTCTCCTCAGGGCTCTGCCAGCCCCTCCTTAATAGGCCCCCAAGCCACTCTGAAAGCATCCCCTGTAACGTGCAGCCCGTGTTGCTGGACACTCACCGCCATGACCAGGTTCGTTACACCCAAGGGAATAGTAAACACTTGTTTGATTCAGCCGAGTATGAGCTGCAGCATAACAACACAGCACCGTAATCTATTGATAGAGAAAACAAATCTGTTTCTTAACCAAGGGAAATGAGATTGTGACCACGGGTAACCACAACAACAGGTTACAAATAACACAGAAACATCACCCGCTTGCGCTAGACTCAGACTGAACGTTAACAGGAGGCTAACCTTGTCTAAAGTGATTTCTCACCTCAGCCCTGTCTTGCAGCGTTTCAACCAAGGTTGGCTGAGATCCTGTTTTTGTGGTGTAACTGCACTGCCCGGTCACCCCCCAAGTGCAGGATAAAAGAGGGGTCCTTGAGCTTTCCTCTTACACCCCAAAGTCCCTTGTTTCTGCCCCCAGGCTCAGGGTGACTGCCCTGTGGTTTCCTTCCAGGGGTGCCAGATACTCTTTCTTTCCCATCCCCCATCCACCTGTTTTTCCTGTTGCCTCGCAGGTATAAATGGGACATCCTTTGGGTTGGCTTTGCAATGCTTGATTAACATATGAACGGAGGGCGGGTGACTTCACGTCCTTTTGTCTGGCAAAACCAACTTACCAAACCTGCCTGGGAGACGGTCTAAATCCACCTATTTTCAGTACATACACACAACTTCTTAAATGGCACCCGTACGTACACCACCCAATGCCTATGAGGCTCAATGTGACGTAAGCTTCCATTAGACACCTCACGCAAGCCTTTTGGGGTAAGTACTATGAAAGCAGTGTGTCGGGTGTAGTGAGTTTGTCAGGCCTGAGAGGAGTGGCTGTTACAGACTAGTGGACCCTTTGCCAGTTGGCACTGAGAGGGATTCTTAGGGTCACAAGGTGAACCACAGCATGGGCAAGGGGAAGAGGTCTTGCAGGAGCAGGGTCCCTGATTTTCTGCTGTGGTTGAAGTTAGAACATCTTGAGAGCTGCTGTTTATTTGCACCAGCTGGCAAAGGCTCCTGGAGGGATAGCCAGAGCACACTGCCCCTCCCTGGGCATGGGAGCCAGCCACGCCAGCTCTATACCTGCTATCAACCCACTTACGCTGGGGGTGCCCTCCCAGCCAAACATCCTCCCTTTGTGCCACACAGGTGGCATGACCGGAGCAGCAGAGGCGACAGATTCTGACCCTGGACAGTCAGGTGATGCAATCCCACCGTGATTTTTTTCACAAAAGTGTCTTACTTCCGTGATTCTGCACTTCCACCAAACATCTAGCTGAGGCTTCCCTCCCCAGGGGTCTGAACAACCCGCCGGAAAACTGGGTGTGGGCTCAGTTCTACGTGTGCTGCCAGTGACTGGCAGAGGGCTGAACACAACATAGCCTCAACCTTCCCATGGCTAAACGTGAGACCGTAGACAGCCCTAACAACATCAGGGCTGCTCCCTGCGAATCAGGGAACACGACTGTTGAAGTCAGCAAGTATTTGGCCAAAGTAAGGGATAAGTGCTACAGCGACTGGCTCAGAGAAAGAAGCTGAAAACAATGCGGGATGACTATCTATAATACAGAGCGCTCCAGACCAAGTTTCTTGACTCAACTGCATATTTTTAGTTATATTAATAAAAACTGCTCAGGTTTGTATGGACTAGAGGAGAACTTGGCTTCTGAGTGACGTGCTCTAATGAGATACAGAGCCATCAACTGGAAACAGCACAACGTCATCGAGTACAACCAGTGGCATGCCATCCGTGTATGCTACGCATGCACTGCGTGCCACAGGACTAGCTGTGCTTGTGGGGCGATTTTCTCTGGCCCCCGGAACACCCATGCAAGTGGTCACATTTTGCATGCCAGTATAGAATTGCATGCCTTGCTGAAAATGTCACGGCACGCCCCTGAGTACGGCACACTAAAATCAGGTGCTTTTTCAAATTCAAAAGGCTGTGTTCGTGCAAGTTCAAGTTGCACAGTTAAGCACAAAGAAAGGTAGTGCCTTAGCGAAGACCCCAAGGGCAGTATGAACTGTTGCATATAATGTTACCCACAGGATGTGTAGCTTAATCCAGTAAACTCTGCATTTTGACAGAAATAATTCCCCTCTGAGCAGCCTAGCTACCTTTTATGTTGCTGGAACGTTGGCTTATGCCTTACCTGGCTTATCACTGCCAGCTTTTTGCATTTACCTTTTCTCGTGTTTTTTAAAGACAATCCACAGCTATTCACTTCATCCCAGGTAAAATCGGATCCCGCCTTAGGATAGGGGAGATATTTGGAGCCACTCGGGAGAGTACTACACTTAACTTCCTCAGGATTATCAGTTATAGCTGGCAGTAGAGCTGGCCAGGTACATGGGCTGGGAACAAATGGGCCATACTTACCAAGTATGTAGAACTCCTGTTAGAAGCCAGCCCCCAGTCACATCCCCACTCCATCCCACCAATGCGTCTCTCACAGGAATAGGGATGGTCCCACACAGCAGATGTTGGTCTTTTGCACTGACGGCGCTTTAACTTTTTTGTTGGCAGGAACCACGGTCTCGGGCTTTTACAGAGTGCGTGCCGTCGACTACTGGAGCAAGCCAGGCCGCTTCTCCATTCCTGTGCAGTACATTGAAGCTCTCGCATGAGTGCAAAACCATCCAACCGCCAGAAGAGAAATCTACATCTGTCTCCAGCGCGTAGCAGAGTGGGGTCATGCTGCTGGAAACGACAACCCGCTGATGAAACCCCAGCCTCACTAGTAAGGGAATTAGCGGGTTAGCCTACAACACTGCACTCCTGTTCTCGCTGCGAACCCTTTGGAGCTTGAAGACAAGTGTCGTCCCAAACAGTGTTTAAAAGTGAAGAAGAAATAATTGTGCCTTGGCCTGGCCTCTTATACGCTGGTGGAACTCAAGTGGTTGCAATAGAGCTAGTCCGCCCGAATACTGGGGTAACAGGAGCCTGGTGTCGATGTTTGGAGTCAGAGCCAACAACTCACACCCCTGGGCCTAGAGGACAGTGTTCTCCTGTGAGGGGAGGCTGGGACTGAATTTCCTCACCGGACCTGCAGACCTGGTTGGATGTGGGATACTGGCCGGCTGGGCTGCTGCTGGGTCCAACGGGTGAACAGAACAGCCTCTTCTGCCCTCCTGCGGCTGGAGTTCTTCTCCCCGGCTCCCCGGATTAGTACAGTCCCTTTCCCCGGAGGATGCTGGGACTTCAGTGCAGTCTGTTGTCCCGCTATAGCAGGGAGTACAACGTTCCTCACCCCTTTGTGCAGCAGCTTCCAGGCAGCCATTTGCTCACTCTTGGGCCCCCGCCTGCGTGAGCAAAGTCCTTCCACCTCAGGGGGTCTGCGGATACCTTCCCCCCGCCCGGCAGGGCCTCGCCAGCACAGACGCTGGCCTCTTTCATTCTCCCTTCTGCTCAGAAGGTTCAAGCCACCTTCCCTCGCTGGATGTTCACCCCCACTGGTCTTCTCAGGCCCTGTCTCGGCCCCTCGCAGCAGGGAGCCCCATAGCGCCGGCTCAGAGCTGGGTCTCTGGAGAGTATCCCCAGACAGCTGCTGTTCTCACCTCACCTTCCTTTACACTGCACTTTTAAATCCTACTTCCCTCTTCCCAGCAGGCCTTGCTGCCTCCCTTCCAGTCACATGCTCCTGCTGCTGACTACAACCCCCAGTGTGCCTTGTCTTTAAACTAACCGAGGCCTTGTGACAGAAATCCTGGGCCATGGCTACCCTCATGGCCAGCAAGGCCTTGTGACAGAAATCCTGGGCCATGGCTACCCTCATGGCCAGCAAGGCCTTGTGACAGAAAT